GGGTTTATTGTAATTTCAATCAACTTTATAATTTAAAAATTTTAATAAAGTTTAGCGGCTTTCTAGATGCTCGAAGCATCACAGAATGTGAAATTATACCGTAATTCCCATAATATATTCTAGATTGTTCGTGTGTACGCTATTTTTATGAATTAATTTTTTGTGAAATTTGAAGAAGTTTTGCAATTTCTTCAGAAAAGTGCTCCCAAATGCAGGGAGCAGTGACTTACAGGCTAGGTGCGACAGATTTTTTAATTAATGATTATCGATTAGGGAAATTGGTAGATCACCGACCGGCTATAAGCCGGTTATAAGCCGGCTATAAACCGGCTTATAGCCGGCTACAATTTTTATAGCCGGCTATAAGCCGGCTTATAGCCGGTTAGTAGCCGCTTACATTTGTTGTTGAGCGACGGCTATTAGCCGGTTATAAGCCGGCTATTAGCCGTTTAGGTATCGGCTATAAGAAATTCAGTGAAAACGGCTATTAGCCGGTTATAAGCCGGCTATTAGCCGTTTAGGTATCGAAAGTGGTTATAAGCCGGCTATAAGCCGGCTATAAGCCGGTTATAAGATATTAACTCAACTTCATCGTACTGAACGATAGTCAGGAGCCGGCTATAAGAAATTCAGCGAAAACGGCTATTAGCCGGTTATAAGCCGGCTATTAGCCGTTTAGGTATCGAAAGTGGTTATAAGCCGGCTATAAGCCGGCTATAAGATATAATCTTAACTTCATCGTATAGTTAGGGCAAGAATTGCTGTTTATGGGTCAATCTGTGAACAAATTCGTAACAAAGGTTTGTCTACAGGAATGTGTTGTCCATAGTCCCAGGAACCACCAAAAAAAACCGTCCGGCTGAAACTTTTGGGCAAAAATTTTTATAGTCATTTTTCTCCAGGAACCCATACGCCCCACCCCTAATATTGGTTATTCGGCTCCCGAAGGTCTTGAAATCTCCATAGGGGGTGCAAAATGACCGCAATGGCCACATTATGGCAGGCGAATGATAGTTTCAGAACGATTGGAGCTTTATTTTTCGAAATAAATGGAATTTTTCTCAATTTTTCTCAATTTTATTGAAATTTCGAAAAAAAATACACCAAATTATTTTTAACGCTTATTTCAAATCTATTTAAAAACTCATCTACAAATAACAAATACAGTCAATCTAAAATGTGTATTCTCAGTAAATACCATGACAATTATTAATACACAGTTAATATTAATCAAAATTCGCTTGTTCTTCAGGTTCATCATGTCTAATGTTTGTGCAGTTCATACCATGGCGTCGTCCACAAGCTGGCAAACAATTGAAGCCATATTTCCTACATGAACATCTGAAAGTCAAACAGGCCTGTTCCACATCGACAGACGACAGAACAGTTACAACATATAAGGTTCAAAATAGACTCTGGAGCAATTATAGCTTTTGTTGCAACTGGTTCGTAATTGCCACCAGGAGCCAATTTTCAGCCGTAGTCAAGGGGATTCAGACTGTCAGCGTTAAGTATTACCCAGTTATGGTACTGTAAGTAAGCTCTAAGGATGTGCTCCGTTGCTGAAGCTATTGTTGGAGGTATCCTATTCGGATTGAGACTCTTTTTCGCTACCATCCTATTGTATGCTAGGAATCTCAAAGCAGAAAGAGTCTTTTTCTTGTCACCATAAATGTACTGCAAGAAATAGAGGCCTGCCTCAATAATCTTTTCTTTTGATTCTCTCACCGAAAGTAATGTTGCCAACTGACCTTGCTCATCAAAGGTGAGAGCTTTCTTTAGCACTTTAACCTTGTTAAAACCAAACAGTCCACTGACGCTATCACAACCTGAAATACTATGAATTAGAAGAAGTATCTCCTTTTCTTTATGATCTAGATGACTTGATATTTCTTTGATTGAATATGTACCTATACCCTTCATTGTGATGGTCACTGTTGAAATGATGTACTAATAGACTTGAACTATATCGGTATCCTCTGCATTCAATTCAACATCGCCAAGGAATGACATTTCCAATGTTTTCTTTGCAATTAAAGTATCAGCATCGTTACAAGCTCTGATCACTTCAATACCATTTACAGTAAAAATGCTTGACATAAGGTCGATCAGTTCTTTTTTGTTATTGTTGTTGCTCAGAAATGTTGTTTTGGTGACAGTACAAAAGGTGGATTTCTTTACAGCAATATTAGCACAGAACGCTTTTACTCTCCTCTTGTGCTCGTGATCTTTAGTAGAAGGCTCATATCCATAAAAAATCACAGTAACTTCCCGATTTTTAGGGATAAGCTTCAAGTACTCCATTGCTACCTCACCATAATTGTCACACCCTTTAAATGAGCTTAGTTGGTGAATTAGCCAACCTCCATCAATGACTAGTGGGATCGTGAAGCTGCAAGATTTAAGTGTAGATTGGTTTATACCAAGAGCAGCCTTATTAGATTTCCTCATCATCTGATATTGATCAAATAAGCTCATCGGCACCACAGTTAACTCGTATGTTAGGCATTCCTCTATTGAAGTCTCTCTATCAGCAACCAAGACTAGACGGCTAAAACACTTCAACGGATCGACTGCAACGCTTTTATTATTCACTTTAACCTGCTTTCTCAGTTGTGTCAAGTTCTTTGCTTTACCTTTGATACTTATCTTATCGATGAATGTCAACCCATCTAGCTCACGTTGAAGGACAGCCCCGACGGCCAAACATTCCTCGGAATTCATTGTTCCCAGGCTGTGATATAAGACCAGTCGAAAAAGATATTAACTTAGTCTTATCTTCGGATTCTGTAAAGTCGACAGTAACTTTAAACCAAGTTAATAATTTTCCAAATACATCACAGTTTTTCTTGATTGATGACTTTACTTGTTAAGATCTGAGTGGATGGCAGCTTTAGTTGGTACTCCTCGCTTCGATGAATTAGCTAATGAATCTCCAAAAGACTGATTTATTAAAGCCATCTGATTCAGGGTGGCCACCCATAACTTGTAGGCGGACTCACGATTACGCATCCTTCCACTTGTTAATCCACCACTAGATTTAGCTGCCCTCATAAGACTCTGCTCTATGGAGAGGTCAGTCCACACCCCGGCCCACTCGTGGTCGTTGTCACAAACCGTGTGAAGCCCAGTTACTTTAAAGGTCTTTAAAAGCGCCCCATACTTGACTTTTAAAATAGCATCCTGCTCCAAATACAGTCTTAAAGCTATTGCATACTGTCCCCTCCCAGCTGCTGCGAAGTAGGGCAGCATCAAAGCTACTGCTGATAAATGCATATTGTAGTCGTGCAACCTCTCTGCTCTTATGAAGTCCTTTACTAGTGTTATCATGTTGTGGTAAGTAACCCATAAAGCTGCTGTTCTACTGTTGGAAAACAGGTTCTTTAGAAGCAGAGTTATTTTCTCTGATAGATCCTGAAAAGATTTAGTCTTAAAGTTAACACCTAGATTTTCGTTCACACATTTGTTGATGTAACCTTCCAAGTCTACTAGTTCATCGTCGTAAACTTCTTCCTCTATAATGAAACAACAAAGAGCGGCGTCGATCAGAAAGTGGGCTCTCAACGCTTTATATAGTAAGATCCTCCATCCGATATATGCGTGACGTCTCCAGGATACACAAGTTTGATGAGCTCCTCTAAACCCGAGTCTGCTATTATATAGCCTATGCAGCCAAGAAAACTCGTGAGAGTGTGGAAGCCCCCAACCCTGACCACAATAGGCATCCCAGTTATCAGTACTATTCGGGTGGCCTTAATCCACAATGGCAAATCGAATGTGATTATCATCGGCTCACTGTAGGATAACTTAAGACATTCAACCAGAGTAGTATGTACCGTCGAATAGCTGTCTGGGGGTTGGTCAATAATCTGTTGTTTGTTAGTTAACCTTGATATTTGTTAATTGAAGTTATTTCCCGAGTAAGATTTGAAATAAGCGTTAAAAATAATTTGGTGTATTTTTTCGAAATTTCAATAAAATTGAGAAAAATTGAGAAAAATTCCATTTATTTCGAAAAATAAAGCTCCAATCGTTCTGAAACTATCATTCGCCTACCATAATGTGGCCATTGCAGTCATTTTGCACCCCCTATGGAGATCTCAAGACCTTCGGGAGCCGAATAACCAATATTGGGGGTGGGGCCTATGGGTTCCTGGAGAAAAATGACTATAAAAATTTTTGCCCAAAAGTTTCAGCTGGACGGTTTTTTTTTGTGGTTCCTGGGACTATGGACAACACATTCCAGTAGACAAACCTTTGTTACGAATTTGTTCACAGAAAAATCAACTCTTGCCCTAACTAGTACTGAACTGAGTTAATATCTTATAACCGGCTTATAGCCGGCTTATAACCACTTTCGATACCTAAACGGCTAATAGCCGGCTTATAACCGGCTAATAGCCGTTTTCACTGAATTTCTTATAGCCGGCTCCTGACTATCGTTCAGTACGATGTAGTTGAGTTAATATCTTATAACCGGCTTATAACCACTTTTAATACCAAAACGGCTAATAGCAGGCTTATAACCGGCTAATAGCCGTCGCTCAACAACAAATGTAAGCGGCTACTAACCGGCTATAAGCCGGCTATAAAAATTGTAGCCGGCTATAAGCCGGCTTATAGCCGGTTAGTAGCCGGCTTATAGCCGGTCGGTGATCTACCAACTGGCCATCATTTCTTAATTGATGATTACAATTTACATATCATCAAGTTATCTCTCGGAAAATAATTATTTGGAGCAGCGTAGTAGACCAAAAGATTTCATTTCATCAGGGATAATGTATTTTTATTAAGTGTTAAGTTTCCCCCTCCGCTTTTGCTCAAAACGACATAACTTGTGAGTCCCCTAAATGAGCAGAGAATATCTGGAACGAAATCTGAACCAGGGTTGTAAATCGATTATCGCAACTGGAACAACCGTTTGCACATGAAGAGCTCAGATATCTATATTTTGATTGATCTGCTTTTGTAAAAATATAATTTTTTGTACATCTACAGGGATGTCAGGTGAACTTGGCAACCCCACAACTACGATAAGACAGTCAGTGACGATTGAGCAGGCAGTCGACCTTACAGTTGATAAGATAAACTTAAAGCTGGTGTTTACATTTGCTGCCATGCTGTGTACTGTGATAAACACAGGGGCAGTGAGCTGCGCGACCATTTTTACTGGATACATTCCTTACAATCCCCCGGAAATAAAATTTAAATATGACTAGGAATCCAGTTTGGGAAGAAAAAAAGGCTATATATTTTTCGGCCGCTTTGCGGCCGACTTGTCACTGGTCAGCTCTTCTCCCAGGTCAAGATTAGTTTGAAATGCTTAGCGTATCCATTAGAATAATTACCGGATGAATATGCAATTGCAAATTTTGAAATTAAATAAAAAATTTCTGAGAATTCTTTAATTTATTTGAAACGCAAGGAAATATTTTTTAAAAGAAGTATACAGCCTAGCCCACAGATATTTTCGTACTATTCTACATACTGACTCGGTAGATCGAGTTCTAAGATTTGTCTCTCACCAGCATGATGAACGATTCGCCACTCTGAAAGTGGCTTCGACCTTGTGTCGATATTTATGGCCTGACTTTGGATCTGAAGCTTGCTTCTGCCAGGTTAGATACAATATTGGACAATAAACAATGACAAACTTCGGACTTAAAGCGGGATAGGGATGTATAATGGAGGGGGTTGTCTGCACTGTACTCTAGATGATCTAGGATGTGAAGCTTGCTTAAGCCTAGAACACACGAGTTCCCCTGATATAGTAGCAATGGCTAGATTCACTTCCTTCCCACTTGCACTGTTGTTGACTTGTAGCTACAATATTAAATTGATTCGTGGAAATCGGTCTCGGATGTGAAGCTTCCTTAAGCGCCAAACCCTGAGAATACTGTATTACTCGAACTTCGAGAATTTTCTAAATGAATCTAGACTAAAGGAGCCAACTTGAATCCATAAAATTTTGAATGCTACATTTTAAAATACCGCTCTATATTTACACCGTTCACCAGTTAATATGGCTGGGAGGATTGGGAGAATTCATATTAGATTGTCGATTGTTTAAGATTAACTTGATATTTTAGCGTATCAGAGCTGAAATTTTGCATGACTATTTCAAATGACTATTTTACATGACTATTTTTTCATATTCCGGGATGTTGAGGAAGGAGGAATGGATAGCGCGCGTTTTCTGCGCGTTTTTTGGTGTCTGAATGCGCAAAAAATAGTCAAGCAATCTTATAGGTAAGAAATAGTCATGGAATCTAGGAATGCGCTCGATTCGAACTTCGAGTCGATAAAATGATGTAACATCGCGTTAGCCCTGAGAGCGACCAATTTTGATTTAATTTTAAATTAATGTGAATATTTTTTCCACAAGAATCTTTTTTTACCGGTTATCAACAAATTTTGACTAGGTGTTAAATTCCTGGACGCCTGACTATTTGCCACTGGGCTTACAATGACTGGGAATGTGCTTCGATAAAGTGTTTTGATCTCCAGAAAAAGGCAGAGGACACTGAAAAGTTCATTTCGTACGACACGATGTGCAGCAATGATTTAGTGGCAGGTTCTGATTTCCAGTGGACCTCAAAGATGCACACATTCTCCATGGATTGGCACTTGTACTGCGGGGATGAAGCTGTTTTCTCCTTGATTAACAGTGGAATAGGATTTGGGTCCCTGCTCGGACTGACACTATCAAACGGACTCTACGAAAAAATAGGAAGAAAAAGGGTGGAATTGTGGGTAGCATCTTGTCTACCCTTTCTGTGGCAGCTTGTTCGATTGCTCCTAACCACCAGGTCCTACTCCTACTCCGGATAATATCCGGATTTGGTATCTTCGTCAACTTCACAGGAACATACTGCTGGGCCATTGAGTTTGCACCAACAAATTTGAGAATTCCAATAAGTGGTTTTGTATCACTAGGGTGGGTAGTTGGGCTCTTCGTTACTATAACTTTGAGTTATCTTTTAAATGACTGGCAGAACATATTTCTAGGTCTTGCCGGAGTGAACGTTCTCAGTCTCCTTGCATACTTCTTAACCCCACTCCATGAATCTCTACGTTTCTCTTTGATTCAAGGAAAGGAGGAAGAAGCCAGGGAGACTTTGAAGAAACTCGCTAGAATTACAGACAGCAACGTCAACGTGGATACTTTAGATCTGGTATTTGAAGAAACGAAAGAGTTCACTTATCTAAACCAAGTCAAGGATTTGAAGACCTACCCTAACTTGTTAAACCAGACCCTGCTAGGTCTGTGGGCCTGGTTCGCAGTGGCTCTCATTTCGTACAGTTCCTCATATGGCTGGGGTAAAATGGGCGGAGACCTGTTCAGCACTTACTCCTTCTCTGCACTGGGCGAGGGCGTAGCTTTCATTACTTCCGTGTTCGTGTGTCAGCTGCTGGGTCGTCAAAGAGCCACATTAACCTACCTAGTAATCATGATCCTGATGAGCTTGTTGGCCATGTTGGACGTCAACTTCTCCCCAGAGTGGAGTCTGGAGCTGGTGGCCGGCTTGATAGGCTACGTAGCCACCACCTCCGCGTTCCAGATGATGTGGCTGGTTTCAGCTGAACTAGCTCCGACCTCCCACCGGGGCATGATCCTCTGCATTAGCTCCAGTGCTGCCAGAGTTGGCAGTATTATTGGTCCCTACGCTAACTTACTGTACAGCGTAACTGATAGGAGGGTACCACTAGCTCTGTCTGCTGGACTATCACTTATGTCGTGTGTTGCTATATGGTTTCTACCTGATACCACCAACAGGTCCATTCCTGAGACACCGGAAGATGTGGAGTTGCTAGCTAGGAAGAAGAAGAAGGAGAATTTGGGGGAGGTGTTGGAGAATAAAGGAGCTCCAATTTTAGCGTGATACTGATGATTTGTATATTAAACATTCGTGTGATTCATTGGTAGACATTAAACAAATGTTTTGAATTTTGTAAAACCTATTATATTAATCGAGTTACTCAAGTACAAATTCTAAATTTGTCTCTTTCTGATTCACAAAAACCGTATTTTTCAGGACATACATTATTTTTAGTTTAAATAGCAGGACTGCAGTATACATCTAATTTACACAAAATCACTGCTGTTAGATATAAAGTGGGCAGGCAAATTTCATCACATGTATTTGATGTAGACAAAATTTCATAACTTCAGCTGCATACGTTGATTTATGCTCTCATTTTTTGAGGCAGCTTTTTTATTCATGGAGGAACCCCCATCTGGTTACAAGTTAAGTTTGTTTGAGGATTTGTCCAGATTTGTGGACGATGATTCGATTAAACACACTGCAAAGCTGGATCTTGGAGAAGGGGATGTTATACTGTGTTCTGGGCTCATTCTCGCTAATACCTCACAACATTTGGAGGCAGGTCTTTGTAAGCTGATGATTATTCTGGATTACCTACACTTTTATCTTTGTCCTGATTCAATTATAACGTTCCATTCTGTTTAGATAAGGTTAAAGGTTAATTAATTTTACAGGATGCGGTGAAGAGTTCAGACACGCTGAGTCTAGTAGGTTTCACAAGGGAAGGGGTGCTGGACTGTTTGAGGCTGTTACACGGCGGATCAATAACACTCAACCTCCACAACTTCACTGATCTCCTAAAGTTTGGGGTTTTCTTCCAAGTTCCCCAGTTCCCAGAACTCTGTCTGAGCTGGGTAAAGGTAGAGAAGGATGTGGCCAGTTTGTTGAAAGCAGCGACGGTTATTCTGGGAAATAGTGAGTTGGCGGAGTACTGCGGAGGGAGCTCCTGGGATGAAGAGGGAGGGAGATCTGGAACTAAACTGTTGTCAATTTGTTGGAGGGACATGTTCGATCATAACGATCTGCTGCGAGGTAAGTGAAACAGAACAAATCTACAGTGTTGTAGTGAATATTTTAATGTTCACATGATATAATTAATATGCTGTAGGGAGCATCACAGCAGAATGACAATCCCAGAATGATACCCAGCATTTCAGAGTGTCGTAAGACACTAGTGCAGTCCAATAACCAACAAGACACGATGGAACATCTCTTAGCAGAAGCAGGTTCACTACCAGATAACATGATTCTCTTCCTGTTTGGTCTAGATACTATCTCGTCGCTGTACAATGTACTACAAGTTTGGATCAACTCGTCAAAGAGGTGATTGTACCAATCAGACCAGCCGTGAACGAGTATTTTAAATTATTTTCCTTTCCTTGCTTTTGCAACCGACTTTAGAAATATGTATTATTAATGTCTGGTTCAGGCGGATTAATACAACAATCTAATTTAACCACTAAATGACCACCACCACCTTTTACCAGGGTAAACATAATGTTGAAGTGTATATCAACCCTGTTAGAAACCCAACAGAAGGATGTAGTGCTCCACTCTGAAGCGCTGAGTGACCTACTGGATCTGATGGACAGTCTAGCTGAACTGCCACGAGAGACTACCCAACAGATAAGAAAGTTGGAGAGTGGCCTGATGAAGAGAGTTATGAACCAGGTTCATTACATGTTTGTTACTTTTCAAGTGATTGTATGAATAACTGTTATTAACTGAATTAACCGTGGTTATATTTGGTTACAATTGCTCTTAGTAATAGTATCCATTTTAGAAATAAAATGTTCATTGTTCATGTTATACAATTGAATAATCATGAAATACCCAGATGATAAAGGCAGTCGACATCAATAATCCTGTAATTTCAATACAAGAGACACTCAATAACAAAGTTTGGCGATCGTTTGACCGGAGACAGTTTGTGGAGCTCAAGAAATCTCTCAATCTTCCTGAATACCTGTTTATTGAACTATTCCTGGACTGGACAGAGCACGCCGAGCCAAAAAAGTCTGATATTATGGAAATTTGGAAAGAACTAGATCTCCCGAACACCTCCCCGATTCAAATAAAGTACTTGAGACAATTCATCATGTCAAAGTTCAATATTCCCTTGATAGCTCCCCTAGTAGAAAACAACCACACGACAGTTTGCTACAAATGTAACACAAATCTAGTCCAGCAGCTACGAAACGGAAAGTACGCCTCCTTCACCTTCCCTATGACCAGCAAACCAGGCCTGAACCCCGCGTTCAAACTGAGATTGTCAGTGGAGAGAGACCCCCACACCGGGGTATCCTATGAAACTGATAAAACTACCGGAGATGATCTGGAGATATCCCACAAAGTAGTTCACTGGTTTATAGTCGGGCTGGAGAGCTTCAGTTTGTGGAATATGTTTGAGAGGACGACGAAGGGACCAGTGTTCATGTCCCTGCTGGTGAATGACTATGAGGCTATGTGTAGTGTTTTGCAGGCTTGTAGTAGGAGGTTAGAGGTGTATGCGTTGTTAGAAGAAACCTAATCGGGCAGAACAAACTTATAATGGAGGGCATACCACAGGATCTTTAGTTTTAGCTTTGCTAGTTTAGTGAGTCTACTAAGACTGTTTATAATTTAAAATAAAGGTCTATCTTCTAATTGAGTTGTATTCCCATGGAACGGCGAAGATATTGAGATTTTAACCGTACCAACTTAAACATATGACCCAAGGGACAAGCGCTCAGCAGTATTTTTGTACGATGAATTCTTGCTTTTTTCCATCACCATTAATTATCACCCAGAGATGAAGCTGATGTTATGTGTATAGTTTATCAAAAATTATAATGTATAGCAGTACTCTGTCACATTGATATTTTTCGTATTTCAATAAATTGTTGAGAAAAATGGGGTGTTATGTATTCGATAAAATATGAAAATGAGATACAGTTTACACGCCTTCCTTACACTAACTGTTATCTTATTAACGTTTGTCACTTGTCAGGCTATAATTGCTAATAGCTATAGTATTTATGTACCCGATCAAAATATGCAAAATTATATGGCATCTTTAAATAACTGAGGTGTATTATAAATATACCCGGTTTTGTAGAACAAAGAGAGAACTTTGATAAATTCTCCAGTATGTCTTTGCACAGCTAGGAATTGGCATTTTTGAGGCTTACGTCTGAAAGTTCTCTATTTTCGTTTCTATCAAGTTTGTCTTCTGACCATACCATAATTTCACTGATATAAGTCGAATCTAGTGACTATATTTACTTTCAGATTACAAATATAGGTTATACTTACGTATCCAGCGAAATCGTAATCAATTCCAAGTGCAGCGATCTTCCTCCTCCTTTCTGTTTCTTTCTTAAGAAGTCGCTTAACACTCTTCTGATGTTCTTCTGTTGTCTTCACCTACAGAATATCAGTTTGTCAAACTTAAAGAGTTAATCAAAAAGCTTTGAAAGATAAAGTTTCGGAATTCATCTTAGGGTCAACTCATTTAAAGTGTAATCAGAGAACAGAATTAAGCAAACAACTTTTGGAATAGGTATTTCATCACAAGACTCACCCTGTTGCGCTCAACCTTAGCTCTGCCTTGCCAGTCTATTTTCTTGAAGGGTCGGCTGGCACCTTTAAATGTGTCCTTGTGGACTCTGCTCATTGGTATGTACTGACCTGAAGGAATGATCAAGCTGAGAATAATAATCCCAATGTTCTCCTGTTAAGTGCAGTTTTCCTATACATTTTGAGGCTGCAATCTTGTTAAACTTATGTAGTACGGTACCGAATCAAGTAACATGAACTGATATCGGATTTCCAGGATCTTCTGGATTGCGAATTATAGCCACCAATTAGCTTAATGGCATTTGGAGTGTACGATTTTATCTAGCTAAATGTGAAAGCCACCACCTGAACCGCACAGAATCATCTGTTTAAAACTAAGTGGGTGTAGGTATTGAAGTGTAAGCATTTATCGTGTAAGTGATATATCGACTTCCTAGCTTTTCCTTTAAAAACCAAGAGCTCCTCACTCATGAATCATACATTATCAATATCCAGGAGGAAGGCTAGCTGGTTTAATCTGTAGTGAAATCGGGGCACAACGTGTACATGGGGCGGTTCGCCACACACTAACAGTACATTGTTAGAGTTAACACACACACTTCATCACATCTTAAGGTCCAATACATTACATTAGTCGTCGCGTCATCGCGTGATCGCGTGATAAGGCGATGCGCGCATAAAGGCGCGGCGCGCTAAAAACGTGTTGGCGCAACGGGCTCCAAAACAAATGTACGACAGTTTCCAGATTAGTAAAAATAAAGATAATCTGCCCCATTGGGCCATTGCAACATGTCCGACAGGACGTCATCAAAGGATATCAAATGCTAAATTACTTTTGTTCAAACTATAGTCTACACCGAGCCGAGTTAGTATGAACTATAAGATTAGTAAGTAAGAATTAGTATGAAATATAAGATAAGTAAGTAAGAATTAGTATGAAATATAAGATTAGTAAGTAAGAATTAGTATGAAATATAAGATTAGTAAGTAAGAATTAGTATGAAATATAAGATAAGTAAGTAAGAATTAGTATGAAATATAAGATTAGTAAGTAAGAATTAGTATTCACTCACATTTTAATAATCTGCCACATAGTATGTAGTCGTTCATAGTATTCGCCACAATCTTCGCGACTTCTTCATTCTCATACAAGATAAAGGAGTATCCTTTAGAATTAGCTGTCTGAAGTAGTATTATACTGTTACGTAAAGTTTTAAGATGGATTATTGAATGAATAAATAAAGGAATTAGTCCAGCAGTTAATTATTAGGACAATAAAAAAGTCACCAAATAGGATACAAAATTTAAAATTTCAACTCTAGTGATGATTGAAACACGCGCACAATTGAAAACTTGAAACAAAGCCAACAAACTTTTTTACTGCGAGATATTCTTAGCTTCAGAATGTCACCAAACTGTCCAAAAAACTGTCTCATCTCTTTTTCTTGGAAGTGGTTTGGAATGTGTCCTACGTACACTACACCCATACCTTTATAGTCCTGGGAGAATTAATTAATAGATAAATAACTTATAACATTTATTACACTCTTCAACATTATAATATATATATATTTAAATAATATGTTACATAGGGGTCGTTCACATATTACGAGGGCCAGTTCACATCAGCCGAGGGGGGAAGGGGTTTTCCAAATGATTACACTAGTGTGATTTTGACTCAAAAGCTATGCGTAAAACTGATTACGGAGGGGGGGGGGGGGGGGGGTTAAAAATTGTCCACGACCCCATATTATAGTGATAGGTTTATATTTTGTCTTTCAACAACATTTTACGGGTGCAATTAGTAGGACAAGTAGGCTAATAATTTAATAATAATCACTAAATAAAATGATATCAATTACTATCTTCAGAATGAATAAATATGCTTATTACACATGCCGAACCAAAATTCGATAATATATCGACTGCGGTTTTTAAGAGTAGAATCAAGCCGTGAGACTATTTAAGCTTTGACATCGAGTTTTAATGAATATTCCGATCGTCATTGAGCTGAGGAACTTTTAAAACATTATAAGAAATTAAAAACTATTTACCTTGTCAAGTGTCTGATCATTGCTCGGAGTCTCCAGGGACATTACATCAGGATTCTTAGGTGTACTTAGCTTTCTCTTACCCATAACTGTATCTACAAATGGTTAAAGTTTGTAACAAGTAAAGTGTATACTTTTTAATTATTTGATAATCCATGGTCCGTTTGAGTCATCACTTAAACGATCTTGTGAATAACTAATGAGTTACACAGAATAAGGTCTATGGTTTATGTATTTGGCCCAATTTAATGAATTATCTATGATCAGTACGGGTTGGATGAATAATAAGATGCACAATTACGCAGGGGGCCGGGGGGGGGGGGGGGGGGGGGGGGCGGGGGGCTTAAGCTCTTGTCAGTAGCTTGGACTGTGCAAGTCGTACGACTTAACCTTATCCTACAACTTACAACTTAACCTTATCCTAGCGACCTGTAAGGACATGTGAAATGTGTCCAAATGAAATTAAGGCAAAATTATTTACATTTTCAACAAGAATGAGTAAAACGAGGTATCCATAAAAATCAACATTTAAAAAATCTATGTAATATTAAACCTCCCCTAAAAAATAAATTAAGTCAAACAGGATGCAGGGATTCAGAACAGTTCACCAGAAATAGTCAATAATAAACAATAACATCTCAGTGTAATTTATAGTCAAGATAAAGGTTTAATTTGCCACGTCTCCAAATAGCAAAGAGTAGGTTTGATAAGTGGATAAATATCTAATATTTATCCTGCAGGCAGCTAGAGAGAATCCAGTGGCAAGTCCCTCCGAATTTGAAATATATTCAAGTGGCTGCTATACAATATGAAAGTGGATAAGCAGTACACACTATATTATTGTATATTATTTGAGAATATGCACTAAAATGTAATACCCGGAATATTGACCTACACTTTAATAGTCTTCGTGATCAGATAATTTCGGGTGTTGAGTGTTTTCTGTCCACAAATATTTTTCAAGGTCTTCGTGAGGATGACAGGATAGGTGCTGTTCTACACATTTCACTTGTGTAACTTTCAGTTTGCAGTTTGACCAGTTTTTAAACAGTTTGCGAACACGACAGTAAACTTAATGTGTTGACTTACTTTTTACATTAGATTTAAACTTATCAGTAATTTGATTGTTTTGTTGTGTTTTATCATAGAAACTGACCGCAACAAGCCTCATGAGAATGAAACTTGTATGGAGTTTAGAGAAACAATGTACATTCAATTAGTCAAACCTCTCTATTACCTGAATATCTTGGTGCCACAAGTCTCAAGTTCTTATTAGCTCTCTTCAAAATTTCATTGTTTCTTCCTGATTCTACATTCTAACAGGGAGATATGTTGATATCTTATGTATTGTTTATAGGGGTATAGAACACGTGATCAGCCCACGTGTAGAACACGTGATCAGCCCACGTGTCTGCTCTTTTGGGAAAGTACCGCCCTCGTGACTCGTGTGCTCCACCCCTTGTGTCCACCGTGCTCTTCGTCCTCCGGATAACGTTACAAGCGTACTTTATAATAGTGTTATTTTTGTGTGTTCAGTGATGTTTACCATATCATTTGAGCTGTTTTTATCATGTTTTTCAGTGTCATTTGAATAAAGAAGTATCTGTCTGGTGAACCGAAACTGTCCAATAAATGTATTTAAAACCTTTAAAAATAATTTAAGTACAGTATCTAAATAATTAATGTTATGTTATAAAAGGTCGGCTCATGATAGACTGTTGTTTAGTGTCACAAAGTACCCCGATATTCTTTACAGATAACAGTTCTGTTGACATAAGCTGCTTGATAAGTGTTGTCTTCACCACAGATTCAAACCAAGTCTGACTTAAATCTATCCTGCCCTCGTTCCAATCTATATTTTCAAACTCACAGTCAAACAAAACCAGAGGTATTTGAGACGCCATTCCGTAGTTGTACTTAACACCAGTTTCAAGCATACTTGAGATGACTTTTGGGGACTCCAACTGCAGGCCAATCCTAAATAGAAGGCTCACCATGTTACGGATTTGGTGCCAAAGAAAGGCATGCCCTAATATGGTTATACAGTAGATAGATAATTTATCATCATCACGGTCTTCAGTTACCAAATCAATAGCAAGATAAGTAATCGTCCGCTCAAAGTTCTGACTTTCTAAAGTTCTATCGGCTTTACAGAAGCCCCTGAAATTATGAGTCCCCACAAACCGTTCCAAAGAGCCCCTCATCAGCTCGATATCCAGATCACACTTAGGAAAGTAGTACTTGTAGGAGCGATACAGCACTTGAAACCTCGCATCAAACTCCAGCCCGACATACGCCCACGCAACCAGTTTAACTTTAGGAGGCAGAACATTATTTATCAGGGTCACGTAATCGTAGTCCTTCTCCGGATCTGTTTCACCCTCCGCAGTTTTAGATCTGAGGTAAAGTGAGATGACCTGTGTGAAAGCGGAGACCCCTTTGTCTGTGCGACCACATCGTGTTATCTTGTAGTCTCTGGCAGTGTAGATAAGGGCACACTTCTCACATGCCCGCAGTAATATCTCTTCTATTGTATCATTCGTGTTTATCTGACGAGCTAAACCATCGTATTTCCAACCCAAATAGGCTACTTTTAGAGCTACGTTTTTAAGGGTTGCGGTACGAAATATTTCCTTGCGTTTGGCTTCTTTTGCTATTCGAGCTGCTTCCTGTTTGGCGTTAAGTTCTCTCTTGTTTTCTCTCAACGAAAGCTCAGTAAGAATAGTAGGGATAACTTTGACAGGCTCAGCTGATTTCAAGATAATTTCAGGTAAATTCTTTATCTTTAATGACAGCGTAGAGTCTATCTCTTCAATCTGATAACCTGAATTATAACAAGTATTTACATTTAATCAGTACTGATAAATCTAAGAATTCAATAACGCCACCACAATCTTGTGAACTGATACAAGGTTCAACCCTTTAAGTAAACATTTTCCATATGAGTTGAACCTTGAAGCAGCAGATGATTACTTTTACATTCAATTATATTATTATGGAACCTTAGCTTACAGACATAATTGTCATAGAAAAATAACCTTAAAAAAGGTAATCTTATAAGCCGCCACTAACCAGAGAAAGGTCTGCCTAACCGGAACCACTCCAACACCTCACTAGGAACTCTATTGGAACAAGACCACGCAGATACCCCATTAGTTGCTAACAGATCAGTTCGCAGATCACTGCAGTACAAGTAGTAACCATCTACTAGCTTAGCTAACATCTTCCTAGTTGGGGTGGGGGTTTTAAGGTTTCAAATATAACGTATCCGCCATTATTTAACAATAACTAACAGTGATCTGATAACTGTGATTTATGTTTATTGTTTATTGTTCATAATATTACTTATCAAGGCTCTTAATATAAACATAGGAACATATTTGAAGATCATTCTGTTTAAACACTAAACAGTGACTTCACTTCCCACAACTTTTATCAACTAATATACCCCTAATACGAGCAGTTTCATTACCACGTACCACATAATATACCGTATGCGGCTTTTCTGTACCGTAGTTAACCCCAATAATTTGTGCTATACACAATAATGTTAAATATATAGGAAGTACACAATATGTAATATATCCGGATAGGAAGTACACATGTAAAATCCGGATAGGAAGAACACAGCCCTCATTCTTAGATGTACTGTTTGAGAAAAAGCTGCTTAATTCTATATTTCAATATCACAAGGGTGTTGTGTAGCGATTTGAATTAGTTATAATTTTGCGCTGGTTCTGTTTATAAATATAAATAAGATATTTTGTGCATTATAAATTAGTTTTACTATTAGTTTTACTATACTAGCAGGATTCTTTAACTAAAATCTTTCTTTTTTAACAAGTTCACAAGAGATTTTACATTTTACAAGATACTCCCCCGAGGTTTTACTGTATTAAGTTTTATCCTTAGTATATATAATAGCTATATATATAGCTCTATATGCCAGGTACAATAAGTTGCCCTAGTTTATGCCACATACGGCTGTAACCACCGTCATAAGTTCCAATGTGGAAATAGCGCTTAGTGGCAGCAATACAATGTGGTGTAAGAGATACCAAGAGCTATAATAGTGTAGATTATTGCATTTCTCATATAATCGGTAACATTCCTGTATCCTCAAACATTGCCTCCACACGAAATGTTTTTGTTAATACTTGGGAAATTTTTCAGGAAAAGGTCATTCAAACAATATATATAATATGTACAATAAATAAAATCAACTGGTAGAGCACAATCATAAATCATGATCTCATCTATCCCTCGTAGCTCTTCTCCTCAGGGATCAGGTTAAAGGACACATTTGATATAGGGGCGGTCTATGCCTTCTTTGCCTTTCCACGTACAAACTTAAGAGTTACTACTTTTTTTTATATCGAGAAATGATCTTCGTCAATGCTGCTTCATCAACGGTGACCCCCTTCTGTCTTGTTGATAACATCAACGATAAAATCCTTAGTCTATGCCATCAACACTGTTGCAAGTTATATTCGATCCAATCAATGCGGATTCCGGATGGGTTGATGTCAGTTTGCCACGTAGCAGTCGTCACAGTTGCATTTGTACGGTAAATTGATATGAAGATGAGATAACAACCCATATCACCAGTACGTGGTTCATACCAGTACGTGGTTCGTGATACCAACCCGGTATCATGGTCACTTCTAATTTCAGTTCGTATTAGTATAGTTCCCAGTACAGTAACATCTTAGCTTTTTAGCATTCTTTATAACTATTTTTTAGCTGATCTCATGTGTTTTCTTTTCATGATTTAACCATTCTTTTACCATCTCATTGAGCATATCACTATAACGTGTTCCGGGTTCCCACGTGCAGGGGGTGGTATAGGATATAGCAATAAATCGCAAAATTGACCCAAATACTGACAGTGAGACGAAATACAATACCAGGATTGGTTGTGTTCTAATCAATCTAGAAATATAGATACAGAAAGTCAAGTACTGAGCACCAGGCACCTCTTTAAAAAGGTCTGTTTTGCGAGCAACACATACCATGTGATTTATCTTAGTCAAGTTTTTTTTGCGGTTACCGACCATTAGGAACTAGTCTGTCTCCTTTAGAGTTCCGAGGAATTCTCTAGAGCACTTACAGTAGTTCAGCAGTATTTCAGCAGAACCTCATCAGCACTTACCTCCTCAGCACTAATGGACAAAGCTTCAAAATGTAACATGTAAATGTTGTCCCCCTCTGTTTGAGAAGCTCAGTAGAAACTGTGTGGACCATTAGTGGACATTATCACATTCTTTAGAATTAGTGGCAACCGCTATTGTTTCTACTTGCTCTTGTAGAATAGTTGCAGATCAGAGGAGACTTGAGGAATTGAGGGACAGCAGTCTTACACAAATATATGTGCTCAAAACGTACGCCGGACCAACAATGGTTCGAAAAATTCCTGAAATACCAAAAACTGCCAATTAAGAACTTTAGACGATTCACTGCTCCCCTATTAAAGATCAACCCCCTCAGCGCTAGTAAGCATTTCTTGATAATGTTTTTGAAGTTGTAAATTGTACATGGGACGAGTTCAGAGTACCAATTCTTTTGCATTATTTATCTTTCATGATTTCTCATTTCTAGCTCTTGTTATTAAAACTAGATAGTTTTAAATAATTAAAAATCCTGTCATTAATTGGGCTAAAGACGACAATGTTTCAATAAATCACATTGATATATCGGCTAGTGCCTAGTAGTGTTAAATTGTTCGCTCTCTTACATTTGAATGAACAATGCTGAATTTTTGAGGAGTTTGAGGAGTCCTCACTCTCCTCACGTCCAACAATGGCGTTTCTCTTGTCGCTAATATGAATGAAATTTCAGATTTTGTCCTTAAATTTAACCAATTGAATTACCTTATTTAGCGTTTTATTTCTTTCATCACTTGCACTTTATCAGTGCCTTTTCTGTAATACAACTTCCTGATATTTTAAAACTGCAACGCATTAACTGTTATCTATAATAAATCAATCATTAGTCATTAATTGTAAGACGAGCTGCTGTACTGCGGTTCTTTGATCTCTCTTCTTTTATATTTTACACGTGAGGGATATATGATTATGACCTAATATTTCCTGGAAATATTCACGTTTAACTTCCTAAGTCCTAACCTTAATTCCTTAAGTGATGATATCCGAATGGTTCATTCCTGTATATATCGTTGCTGTAGTGATTGGATTTTTCAATCAAATATAAAAGAGACCCTAGCATTCTGATTGTGTGCTACAGATAAGATCAAATTATCATATCTTTGCAGGGTGGATTTTATTAGGAATTCCTAGGAACAAGTTGTTACCCTACCTTTAGTGTTCCGATCATTATTTGTTTAGGTAGTCCATATTTTGTTGCTCATACTTCAAACTCTCCATATTTACGAGTAGATTGCTAAATGTTACTGTTGAAGTTTATCTGGGATGACATTTGAAATTTTATTAATTAACTAATTAATTAACTAATTAATTAACTCACAATCTCAGCAATGAACACAGCAATGAAAGTGTTCCTGTTCCTTGGTGCCCTGGTGTGTACAGTAGAAAGTATCTGTAAAGAAGGGGAGCTGACTGCGCTCGAGCAGACAATTCTAGACGCGCACAACGCACTGCGCGCTAACCACGAGGGAACAGAGGATCTGTGTTACGCTGAGAGTGGGGAGGATGTAACCTTCATCTCCCAAGCCTGGGCTGACAGCATGGCGGAGGAGAAGAACATGCACCACAGTTCCGGAGAGTACGGAGAGAACCTGGCTTACAAGGGCTCATCCGGGGACAGGGTGGGGCAGGAACAAGCTTACATCCTGGCATCTAAATCTTGGTACAGTGAAATCAAGGACTGGAACTTTGCGGAGAGCAAGGCTAAAGGAGGGGTAACAGGTCACTTCACCCAGCTGGTATGGAAGGAAAGCAAGCAGATGAACTGTGGATACGCGGAGTTTGAGAACGACTACAACTCCCACTACGTAGTCTGCCAGTACTTTCCTCGTGGTAACTTTGGGAGGACTCCGGAGTATGTTTTGAACGTGGGACAGATCGCGGAGGGGGCTGATATGAGCGAGTATGAGATTGCAGAGGGTAGTAGTGCAGGAGGAGTGTTCAGCAGTGCAGTGGTGATGATGGTCGTAGCTGTCTTCGTTGCTATTCACTAATTTAATTGGTTAATTTATCAATCAATTTACTAGTTAATTTACATAGGAATTTACTAGTTAATTTACATAGGAAGTGAACATGATCACTTTTTGTACCAGGTTATTTTAAATTTCGATTATCTTAGTATCTTATCTTATCTCATCATATTATCTTGCATTGGGATTGATATTTTTTATGAACTAGCAAGTTTTTTATTTCGGGGTATTGTAATTATCATCGTTACATTACAACTTTTAATAAATTATAAATGTAAGATAATTTTGTTATTTTACTCTCAAATCTTTAAAAAAGACATGTTTTAATTTTTACAGACTGTGTATCTTGAATGAATAACCGTATTACATTAATCGAGGCTTTTAACAGAAATCGAATAAATTTGAGACATGTCAGGATCAATAAATAGAATAAAATACAATGTGTCATGTCACTATGACAATGTAAATTATAAAGGATATGAATATCAGCACTTACAAATTTCAATTGACACAAACTTGTGAAGTTGTGACTTTGTGAGGTCACCCTCATTAAATTTAAAAGCAATGTGTTCCCCCCCCACATATACGTTACTTAGCTGTACGTTACCTAGCTGTACGTTACCTAGCTGTTCTTCTAACTTAAAAACGGAAATAATTGATATTCACAATTTATCGAATATATATGAGATTTGAGAAAATAAAACAACAAAAGATCATGAAATCAGAAATGGCGACAATTTTAAGTTTAATCAATAGTAATGCTCAACAAACAAAGCAACATTAAATACTTAAATAATTTAATATACTGTTATTAACGTGAGTGTTTCTGTAAATTAAGGGATGTATTAGTTCACCACGTTCTAAAGATAATATCTCACTAACACGTGGTATTCCACGTGACCGTAACGTTATAAGTCTTTTATCCAGCCGCAGATTAAAAATAATACGTGTCAAAGAAAATAGCAAATAGTGGTAGGAATAATAAGTTGTAAAATTAAAAGTAAATGTGCACAACGTAATGGTAGAATAATAAGTTGTAAAATTAAAAGTAAATGTGCACAACGTAATGGTAGAATAATAAGCTGTAAAATTAAAAGTATATGTGCACAACGTAATGGTAAAATAATAAGTTGTAAAATTAAAAGTATATGTGCACAACGTAATGGTAAAGTTATACATCCGAAGATCTGTCTATGTTTTTTTTTAATTCAACGTGACCGTAACGTTATAAATCTCTAATCCAGCCGCAGATTTAAGAATATTATTCTAAGAAAATAGCAAATAGTGGTAGGAATAATAAGCTGTAAAATTAAAAGTAAATGTGCACAACGTAATGGTAGAATAATAAGTTGTAAAATTAAAAGTAAATGTGCACAACGTAATGGTAAAATAATAAGTTGTAAAATTAAAAGTATATTTGCACAACGTAATGGTAAAATAATAAGTTGTAAAATTATAAGTATATGTGCACAACGTAATGGTAAAATAATAAGTTGTAAAATTAAAAGTATATGTGCACAACGTAATGGTAAAATAATAAGTTGTAAAATTAAAAGTATATGTGCACAACGTAATGGTAAAGTTATACATCCGAAGATCTGTCTATGTTTTTTTAAATTCCACGTGACCGTAACGTTATAAATCTCTAATCCAGCCGCAGATTTAAGAATATTATTCTAAGAAAATAGCAAATAGTGGTAGGAATAATAAGCTGTAAAATTAAAAGTAAATGTGCACAACGTAATGGTAGAATAATAAGTTGTAAAATTAAAAGTAAATTTTCACAACGTAATGTATTTCTTCACAAGTAACAAGATTAAACTTCTAAACATCCGTAAAAATATCTAAGAAAGCACCCAAGGTACTAACTACAATACTTCAATAAACTTAAAGCTACTGTTATTAACGTGATAAATGACCGTAACGTTATAAATCTCTTGTCCAGATAAGATAGAAATATATTTGTCACTAGTAATATTACTAATAATTCTAAGCAACCTTCTGGAATTCCGATGATAAATGACCGTAACGTTATATAACTCTAGATCCTTACTTTCGACCATTTGTTCCGTGCATTTTTTATAGATCCACATGATGTCTCGCTGCTGTGTAACTTGACCGTTACGTTATAGAAATCTTGTCGTTATCTTCTGTTAGTTGTAGAATAACCTGGCCAGTGAATATTAGGTTAGTAGGTGTGGTTAGTTATAAAGTGATTAAGTAAGTAACAATAAAAGGTTTAAAGACAAAAGCCGAGTTTTGATATCATTCGTAATTTTACAAATGCAAATTGTATTTCTTTGAATCGATTACTTCAAAGGGAAAGTAATAGAATATGTTTTTTAGTAAATGAATAAAATAAAATGAATAATTATTGATAAATTAGTTTTTACCTTTCCTTGAAGTGCTCAAGCATTGTTAAACCGCGTGTAACTGAAGCAATGTAGCAGTTAGAACTTAGTAAGGCCTGAAATCTTTCAATTTCATGGTCTACTTTGTATGTAGCGAATAAAATAACAAATAGTATTCGATCAGAGAGTTCTAGTCATTGAGTTGGTTTTCACTGATAAATAATTCGAAAAATTCATGGACCAGCAGAGTGCTTGGCCGGGTGGATACTACTACAAAAAATAATTAAACTAATTAAATTATTGACTGTAAACCTGTTCTCCTAATTTCAACCGTAACGTTACAGTCTCGTTTTTACATTGGATATCCGATATCTATAAGTGACCGTAACGTTATAAAACTGCAGGGAGAGTATAAACCACCCCGGCAGTCAACTGATGCCGTTAGTACAGGATCTAGATATATTGTCTGTGTCCCTGCAGAGTGAGTTGGCACACAAGACACGTGTTTAGTCACGTGACAGTAACGTTACAGAACTTTTTTCCTGCTGCATTCCTGAATAGATGAATAGATAAATAACTTTACATTTGAATAACTTTTATTTCAATATTACATAATTATAGTCCCTTTAACATCGCCCAATGGCAACATATAAATGTGTTATTAATTTAGCTTAATATGTGAATAATTAAAGATATATTGAGAATATTGAAGGTTAAATGTATTTAAATGCACAGGACGAAGAGTACAAGGCCCAGTGTATCGTGTACACGGTACACTCCAAAATTACATTTTTGTTGGTATTTTTTTCGAGAACTAAAACAAAGCCATACCTAGCACCTGGTGAATAACACTTTGAGATAAATCTTTCTCACCTTAAGTTTTTGCCGATTTTTTGGCCGCCCCAAGGATAGCGGGTGTTTTAATTGGTAAAATTAATGGGTTTGTGTTCGAAGATGGGGTCCTCGAGCTCTGGCCATACGAAATGGCCAGAGTGAGTCAGTCACCTTAGTGAGCTGACTGCTGTCTTGGCTGGTCGCAGCGTGACAGAAGTTTTGTCTTGAGTTTATAGCCATTCCTACCTAGAAAGGTATGGCCAGCCTCATTAACATCCACGTACACTGTCGGCTACAGCCCCCTAGATTTATCGACACAAATGTTAGAGAATCGGCAGGCATGTCCGGTTGGTGAGGTACCCGGGACCTTCGAATGCGTAACGTCGCTGCATGGGCCAAGTTACGACTGTAAGGTCGTCCCTGGTCCCGAGCAGCTCTGTCACTGCGCTCTGTGAGCTCCCGTCACAGACGAGGAGATTATAATGTCCCCGACAATCCGGCTATCTCGTAGTGAGATAGGCACGGATGCCGAGGTACGGTCGATGGCATCTCCGCTATTTGCAACGCAGACCTCACGAGGCCAGCCCGAATTCAGGGAAACCTGAACATTAAATGTTGGGTCCGCCCTACGGGTTCTAATTGGTTGTTGGGTGGTGTTAGGTGCAGTTGCTCGAACGTAACATTGTTACATATTAAAGTCACTATTGTGACGGTACATTAGAACAAGACAGAAACAAAGTGTGAAGGGCCTGAACGGAACCCCTCGGTTTCAGTTCCTTGTTTAACACTGCCGTACAGCAAGGACATCCACCGGGTTCTCCAAGGATGGGCACATAGCTCACTCCACACCATGCTCTGTCAAATGTTACTAATATAATACCAAGGATCTTCAGGAAATATTTCCTTGTAAGTTTAGAGGGCGATCTGTGAACAGACAACTACCTCATTCCCAACTATAGGAACCAGAATTCCTATACTATCCCAACGAGGTACACCAAGCATAGTTTCAGATGAGAACAGCCGCGATAAATCAGCAGGCTAGTACTCTTAATTATATATTAAAGTCACTATTGTGAATTGTGCTGAATATACGAGTAAACGTCCCAAGAATAAAGAGTAACTTAGTCACCGGGTTATGATTACTCGAAAATTATGCCTTCCTCTGGATCTACTGGCTATATATAAGCGGAGTAAACAGGTTAGCAATAGCATCAGGTAACTGTATTCAGAGTTTCGTATTGATGTGATACAGCTAAGGGCAGGTATCTACTCACAGACATGTTTCAACCTACCAGGCAATGTTATCTCCTTATTTGGATGTAAACAAACTGATACAATCGAGCATTTCGTCTCCGATGTTAGAGTTTCATGTTTTATTCTTGGCTCTGCACGTTATACGTGTCTCCCCAAGACATTGTACGGAATAATGTACGTTATTATTTCTATATTACACCAATGTAGAAGAAGGGGGGGGGGGGGGCCGGGGGGGTTGCTTAATGCTGTCAATAGCTGACGGAGGGGTGTAAAAATGGCTTGACGTAATATGTGAACGCTGTCTTATTGTGATTTGTTCATAGTTTACCTTAGATAATAACGCTGTGTGTACTAATCTATAATTACCTGACGAATGTTGTGGAAGAGCAAGTAGGTTTTTTTACTCCAGCGGTAACCACGTTACAACAGCATGTTAGCTAGCTACGGTAGGTATTCCTCCAAACCTTGTCAGTAGCAGAAAACTGGTTTGTTGACCGTAACGTTACAGAAATCCTGTCTTGCTGCTTTGTCGCACGTGGAACAGTTTCAAGTGGCACCTGAATGGGATAGTGTGTATACAATAATATGTAGGAGTGAATTTGAAGAGCTGAGGGCCTGTCTGTTCTAAATGTGAAAAATAATAAATTGCATTACAAGTAGAAGTAGTAACATTTACTAGGTTGCCGTTTGGTGTGAGCAATAGCAAACAGCACGCACACTCCTTTGCCCCGTCAACCTATATCTAATCTATTTAAAGAGTGACAACCATACTACACATTGAATTAGGATTCCTTTAAATATCAAATTGATTTATTGTAAAATTGTTTAATCTGTAATAAATGGCATAAAATTGAAATTTTTGTTTGACTGAAATTTTTGTTTAACTGAGTAGAACTGGCAATAAATAGTACCAGCAGTAAGTGTAAGTAATGAAAATCTACCTTTGAGGTGCATTATCCAACAATTCTTCTTGTATATGGGACAGAGTTGTTGCAGGACTTGTCGACCACACAATCTGCTCAACACTTAACCGTAACGTTGCAGAACTCTTGTCCTACCTCTGCTCTAATCCTCCATATCTTGTCAGCATCAGTGTGTTGAGTACCTATTCCCTTTTGCAGTGTTTACCTACACGGATGATCTGCAGTTGTGGGGTAGACTCCTCCTGCATAGTCTTCATGAGAACCCCATTACTTCCCCTCCGCCTGATTGACACATCTTAATGGAAGGATTTGTACAAGTTCTGACAGTAACGTTACCTGACTCATGTCCTGGCTTCTTTATCTCTTGCACATGTAACGCCATGAGTTGAGCTAACTGAACAGGAATATATATATACAAATTTTATCAGCCAATATTAAAAGAGTATCAACAAAAAAGCATACAATTTCAGATCTTTATATACGATATATACGTAAATAATATACGATATTAAGCTAGAGGAATGGTCTATATAATCTATTGCCTATTCAGAAGTTGCTTATTTGAAATTGGTACATGTACTAGGATTTAACTGATTTGCAACTTAAATTACTATTTATATGGAAGAATAACTATGAAAGAAGAAAAAATTCACATTGAAGCAATCTTTGAAATGAAATGAATAGATGATTTTTTAACATGTATTCTTATTTAAAATGGAAACATAAAACCATTTTCCATTTGGTTGATAAGAAATAAATTATTTAAACCCGAGTAGCATCATCATTTTAAAACTAAAATACAATAGTTGTTTAAAAAAAACGAAATCAGTTTACTGTGACATCACCAATTACAGTAAAACCCCATTTACCGCTGAGTTTGGGAAAAGGAAATATCTGCGGTAAATCAGGGTTTGCGGTAAATCAGGGGTTTGTTTTATTTAACAATGTACATGTTAAGCCTTATTTGGGGAAAGGAGATGGCCGCGGTAAATCAGGGTTTGAGGTAAATCGGGGCGCGGTAAATTAGGGCACAGTAATTCAGGGTTTTACTGTATCATGAAAAATACTTTAATCACTGTATTATGTTTTTTATCATTATTCGATTGGAGCCATGTTGGCGGAAACTTGCCATACCACTGTAATATATGATTTAATGATCATGTTATAAATAATGTAAAAATAAAGGATTTGATACAAATAAAATAAATATCTACACAATTTTCATGCAGTAAATAGAGTTTTGACACTAGCTGTAAACTCAGCTTTCCGATTTTATGTTAATTAACGTCAATTGAACTTCACAGCAGTCCAACACATCGTTTTAAAAACTGTAAGTGCAGAGGTAAAATCCACAAACATTTACCAATCAGAGCCTCTGTAGGAACCTGACCATAATCGTTGCTGTCGACAGAGCACTTTTGATTGTCACCCACAGCCCAAAAATGACCTGAGTGTAATTTGATATCACAGAACAAATTATGTATGAAATTAATTGACTATCAAGTTCAAGAAAATTACTGAATGAAGATAAAATAGTGCAAAGTACGGAGTAAATAATCAATCATCCGTTTTATCATTACTCTGAATAACTCTCACAACCCTTAGTATTCATTGCGCTACATAGACATAAAAAATATTTAACCTTAATATGAGTAACAATGATAGGAAACGTTATCATTCTTATAATTACAAATTGCTCCTCAGTGTATTAATCATTCTGTGAGCACTAATCCATCTCAGCCAATTAGTTCAATTGTGTTCCATCTTAACATTAAATGGAGCTGAAATACAGAACAGGTTGCTTACCAGGTTTGACAAGGATCACATTTCCATCCCGGGCCACGATTGAATGACCACTTGTAGCCAAGACTCTTTTAACAACTGATTTTTTATTAACCCCTGGCTTCACAAAAACTACAACATCGTTGACTTTTGGGGTGTACATCCCAAACCAACTTGATATCTTGTTCAATAGTAAGAGGGAGTCACGTCCTTCTCTGTTAATTGTTGGAGACATTGATCTTCCAGATACATGGAACAATTGGGACAAGACCAATGTTGCTCCAGCGCCAATAGCTATACTACAACGTCTCATCGTAACTTGATGTAAACAGCTTAGAGTCCTATGATTTCGGCCACATACTTCTGTAACACATCTTAGTTACCTTAAAATAAGTGATGACATGAATTGCAATAATAAACCAAAGTATAGTAAGTGAAACAAATTATTTATGCCCTTCAGCAAAACTGCAAATTATCCTAACATATTGTTGCAGCGTTTTCGTAAACCAGTGTCAAGGACGAGATTAAATAATTTAATGAGAATATTTGATGAAGTGTCAAACCGTGTGGCACTGCTTTTTTGGTCCGTCAGCCTCCAGTGCTGCAACTTTTTCCTCTGAACCTATTTTCTAATCAGATGATAATTTACGAACGGGTCTAATTGGTTTGAAGGAAACTGAGTGGATACAAAACTTTCATAACAACTATACATTTCCTGTTCAAAAGTTCGATCAGAAATGTCTTCATTTATGATTCATGTGTAATTCACCATAAAGTAAAATAAAAAGTATTCAAACAATATAAACATAAAATCACAATGACCCTAAATGAAACCGTCAAAAATGTAGTACATTAATATACAATTAAATTGGCCTTGTGGCTCTAAATTTGAAATGTAAGTCTAAGTGTTCACCTGAAAAGAAGGATCTCAATGAAACAAAAAATTCAATGAAACAAGAAATTTCATTTAGCATATTTTACAGAATAAAAAGATGTAAAACATTTCATAAAATATAATGCAAATTAATTAGCAAACTATGTAAAATATTTAATGAATCTTCAAAGCAAAAAAGGAATGACGCGCCAGGCAACGTTTAATTTAATTTTAAAAGTTTTATTTTATAACATTACATTACATACTTTTTATAAAAAATTGTATTTGGCTTTCTTCATTTTATTCGAGTTATAAAAATAAAATTAGGATGGTCTGTTCGAGTGATTTCGGCAGATGCTCTGGCGGCAACGTACAGAGTAGATTATCTACATCAGAACGCAAAAGAAGAAGCACAGCACTAATCTTCACTCTAGCTACTTTTAATGTCCTGGGTATTACTTCTCCAGTTAAACGGGATGAACTTTTGAGAGATTGCTATTATCGTAAAATAGACATTCTCGCTGTGCAAGAAACAAAATGTCGTCACTTTGAGGATTCAGTTTTGCATTTTACAGATGATGATGGGAAATCACACAAATATCGCTTCATAAACTTTCAGCAATTTGACAATAAGTGGCAAGCAGGTATTGGTTTTCTTGTAAATTCAGTCTATACCAACTACATCAAGTGTTACAACAGTATCAGTGACAGGGTTGCTTATCTAGATCTTGAGATACCAAGTAAATCAGGTAAACCAAGACTTTGCCGTGTTATCAATGCCTATGGACACACTCAAGTAAATTGTGATAAGTATCCGCAGAGACGTGATTATTTCTACAAGTTTCTTGGCAAAGCTGTTGATATCCCATCAAGTTGGGACTTATATATTCTTGGAGATTTCAACTCTCGACTCGGTAAATTGTCTCATTCAGATATTGTTTTCGGGTATAATGACTTTATGGGTATGTATGGGTCTGGAAAGAGGAATTCAAATGGAGAGCATCTTCTTAATTTTCTTGTTGATAAAAAACTTTTTGCTTGCAACACTAGCTTCCAGCACCCTGTCCGTCATATAACAACAAGAATTGGTTTTATGAAAGACTACTCAGCTCCTAAAAACTCACATCGCACTTTACCCTACTACTCTCAAATTGACTATGTCCTATGTAGCAGTCGATTGAAGAAACTTTTAGTGAATTCTCGAAGTTATGGGGGTACTCTTGTTAAATCTGATCACAAAATTGTTATTACACGTTTCAACTTCAGTGACGCTCACCTTGTCTTCCCCAAACAGAAACCTAAAATGCATTTTGATATCACAACCCTTGTCAGTAATCCTGCTGCTAAAATGCATTACAACAACACATTGAATGATATTCTAACAGACAGCCCTGTTAATCCTAACCCTGAGGAAGAAATGAATAGTTTGTTTCACAATGTACATAAAGCTGCTGAGGTTAGTATTGGATACCTTCCTAGGAAACGCCCTAAAAACTTTTGTAATGACCTTGAAATTCGAGAGATGTCTGATGAAAAGAAAGTTCTACAAGCTCTAATCAATCAGAACAACACCTCTGAAGATAGATCAGTTATACGTACCAAAATCAATCGTATTCAAAATGACACTCGTAAAGGCCCCGTGACACCCTGGACATTGCGCTTTGGCGCAAAAAAGATGCCTGCTTAAGCTCAAAAGATGCATTTCTACGCTAAAATTTCTTAAAAAACCCGAGTCGTGAACGTGCATCTTTCGATTCTTTACTCGCATCTTTTGGAGTTAGTCTTAACGCCAAAAGATGCGCTTTAAACCGAAAGCTAGAATCGTAATTCGTGTCGTTAACTCAAAAAGATGCGGTTTAAGAAATATTTTGAAAATTTTATAACGCGTCGCTAAATCGCATCTTTTGGAGTTAAGCTTAACGCCAAAAGATGCGGTTTTACAAATATTTTGAAAATTTTATAATGCGTCGCTAAAACGCATCTTTTTGAGTTAAGCTTAACCCTAAAAGATGCGATTTAAGGGGAGTTTATCTTGATTGAAAACGCCACTAAAAAGTTAAAACTGAAATCTTACCTGACAACACAGATTATAATAGTACCATTTTAACTCTCGTGCAAGTTTACTCCTCTACTGCACTGATTTTTATTGAACTTCCAATGTTCCAAGAACTGTCCAGAAGATAAATCAGTCAAAAGCAAATGCCTAAATAGCTAAATTACAAACCTCATCCACGCCCCCGAATGAATTGTAGCAACATATAGTCTAGTCGGGAGTTTTCCATATCAGCACAGTAGTGTACACAACCTTTGTATTTACCCAATTGTATTTGTACACTGTACAGACAGTTCTAATTAAATGCAGAAGAGTTGTTCCCACTTCCCAATTACAATCATGACCAACTCGAAATTGAGGATTGTATGCGGTACTAATTTCTGTAAAATAAGCACGGTTCATGTCTTGCAAAAATATAGTCATCAAAATTTTAGTCCAAATAACACAGCAGTGGCGTGCATCCTAGAGCGCCAGCATTGAAGCCGACGATCGCAATTCGCATGTTCAATTCGGCTTGCTGGCATGTTAATTTTTTTGCTCAGATCACTCTGAGCAAAATCATTTTTCATGATAAATATAACATAAACAAAACTGACATGGGCCTTGCTAGATAACTCGAGCAGCGGTAATTTGCCGATGAATTTTAGCAAGCTAGTGAATAAGTAGATAGTGTATTTAAGATACAAA